ACGAGTTACCCGGGTAGACCAGTTGGTTCTACAACAACAACAGCTGGTCTACCCATTTTTTGGAAAAATTTGTGATTGTTGTCTAATACCATAACCTTATGTGACTTGGGGAGGGGGTAATTGGGTATGGTATACATTTGTGGGATCGTTTAATACGAAACGAATTGCATTATAGGACGTAAATTCAGTGGTTGTCCACAATACACAAATGCAACACAATACATAAATGAAAATTAGGGTTTAGGATACCATAACCATTACACAACAATACAAGTGGTTGTCCACAATTGCAACACAATACATAAATTCGTAGTCATTACAAAACAAAGTACAACACATTACATTACATAACGAAGTTCATTTCATAATACATAATCATGCTTGTCTTAGCCTCGATGGACATGTACGAATGTTATGTCCAACTTGCTTGCAATGCTTATATCTGCTCTGACTGCTCGAGGGTTGAGACTCAACCCAATCCATCTAATTCTGAATCCTTGAAGACTTTGGTCTTCCTTTTGCGCGTACCAACCTTGCATCCAGAATTACAATGGGCCCAACAACGGATGTAATCAACAGTTCAATCCCAATAGGATACCAGTGTGCAGCATATACTTTAGCAATGGTTGGGATTTTGAAAACAGGATCCACATAATCATAATGATTCAACTTTGCTGCCTTGCAAACTACTAATACATGGCTGCAGGGATACCTCCTTGTTGTGAACCTACCACACTGACATTTATGATTGATTAATTCCACTCTCATGGTGTCACCAACCTCGTGTGTAGATTGATTATAGGCATCCTCAACCTCAAACAATAACAGCTCACTATCATAAATCCTCACACGATAAGTGTCAGCCAATTCATCATTTTTTTGCAAGGCTGCCTCAACCTTCTTTGAAATTATCCAACCTTGTGAGATATCTTTTTCAATCTCCTCACGTCTCCGGACGAAATACTCAACGAGTCTACTGCATGTCATCTTGACCAATGCAGTTATCGGCAGATTACGTGCTCCCCGAAGCACCTTATTTACACACTCAGATAAGTTAGTTGTCATATGACCAAACCTACGTCATGCCTCATCATACGACATGCATCATTGCTCTTTCGGAATCGCATCCAACCATGAAGCAACTTCTGGATTGTTGTCGATAAATTCCTTGTATCTCATGTCAAAATTTATCTTTGAACATGTGTACCCTGCAAATCATTAATCACATATGCAATTGGTAAGTTACGGTGAAAAAAATAAATGTGAATAATTATAGCATACAGTACCTAATTTCATCAACGTTTTCTTCAGTTCCACATTCCTAAACTTGGTATTAAAGTTGCTTCTGATGTGACGTGGACAAAATACATGATAAGCATATGGAGGCTGCCAACCAGCGTGATCTTTGACCGCCCTTATGATGCTTCGATGACGATCGAATATTAGACAAATACCTTGCCTGTGTGTGACATGAAAACGTAAAAGGCTAAGAAACCAGGATCAATCTTCCAACTTCTCACCTGGAGGAACAACAGCAAAGGCAATAGGGAGCAGATATCCATCTCCATCCTGTGATGTTGCAATCAAGAGAGTTCCTCTGTACTTCCCATACAGATGAGTGCCGTCAATTTGAATTATAGGCTTGCAGTATTTGAATGCTTCAATGCATTGGTGAAATGTACAAAAAACCCTATGAAATATGGCCCTGTCTGTATAAACCCGACGTTCGTCAAGACATTGATTTGTATCAAGCTTGAACACAGAACCCACATTCACCTGCGTCATATACGTCAGCCAATTGGGCAAGAATCCATACGATTTCTCCCAGTCACCATACAACTTAACAATGGCCTTCATTTTTGCCTTCCAAGCCTTCCTATATGTTATGTTGTATCCATATATTCCTTGTATCCTCTCTTGTATCAGAACTGGTTTTAAAGTTGGATCTTCCTTTAACATATCTGTAAAAAAAAAAAAAAAACTTTACCATATACTCAATAAGAAGCTTCATTAAGTATACGGTAGAATACATACTCGTAATAGCCGCACAAATGACATCTGAATCCAACTGTCTATGATCCTGTGATAGGCCCTGATTCAGGCATGTGTGATCTTGGCCCCATTTACAGACCACCCAATTAGCTCCCTTCTTGGGCTTGATTTCCCTCATATACCAGGGACAGCCGTCAGCATGGTTTCTACACTTCATAACAAATCTAGACTCGTCGCTTTTTTCGACTATGGTTGTCCTGCGCCCCTTCATACAATGTATCTTCACAACATGTTGCATTTCAGGTTTGGAGCCAAATTCTTGTTGCACAAATAACGGATCTCTTAACTTCTAACCTCCGTGCAAGTCATCATCCCCATAAAGGATCTCCAACTCGTCATTAGGGTGCGCCCAATTAATGAATGAATAATGTTGGCTCGCAGTCCCTGGATCTAAAACGTCATCATTATTGTCTGAATCAACACCACCGCAAATAATAATTGTTTAAAACAAATGTCCAAATTTAATAACTTACCACTACTGACTGGGTCAACATGAAGTGGTGACATGGCTGGGGTACCCAGGCTTACAGCGCTCGTGTCAGCGTCAAAATTTTCGTCCACGTCAGTGTCTGACGAATCACCTTGTGGAATAACACTTTCAGGTTCTCCCTTATCTTCGTTGTCCACATACTCCTCATCTAGATCCTCTTCATCCTCATCCAATGTTGCCTGAGCAGGTGCAGATGATCGTACAACTGTATCTTCTTGACCAGTACAGTGTGCAGTGGTTGTATGCACCGGTAAAGATGAAGACTGACCAACATCAACTTCAACATATATCTCAATCAATTTTAATACTTTCCATACAACAAACGCATTTGTTACGAACTCCACATCTTCATCATCATTGATATCATTACCAATGTAGTATATTGTATCCATATCCACTACAGCCTCTAACCTGGCTATCATGCGGTGGATGGATTGGATGCCTTCCAACCCCATCTTTTGGTGATTTCTCTCCTTCAGTTCATTGCATGTAATGTCCACTTTGAATTTCATCGTTTTTGTTTTTCCTTCAAATCGGACATCGTTCGAACCTTCAAAATGCCTCCCATTGCAGTAAATAACTATAGGAACCATGTTTGGACTTGAACTCATCTTTCACACGAAAATTGGGTCTAGGTTTTGGGTTTGGATCTTGGTTCAGATTTTTGAGCACAAAATAGAAATGTGGAGGTGTAATGCCAATGTCCTACCAAGATTAAGTTTTTTGAGATGATGAGATGAAATATGTGTGATGATTCAGAATAGAGATGTCAAGGGAGAGAGATTTAGGAAAAAAAAATCTATAACTCACAACAATGGCCGAAACTCATTGATATTGGGGTTTCTGGCCGAAATTTACCCGGGTAGCCCCCTCCCTTCCCGGGTAAATAATTCAATCATTTTTTCAGATTTTTGAAATATATCAAGGTATCCCATTGACTATCCGGGTAGGGTAAAATTTTCAAAAAATACCCGGTAGGGAGGGAGCTACCTGGATAGGCTTGATGGTCAACGATCAAACATGGTAAATTGGTGTTATGGTTTTTGGAAAGGTTAAATTTTTGAAATATTTTATAATAAAAGTCAATTTGATAATTAATTATTAAATAAAAACTAGGTCAAAAAGCCCATGATAACCACCTAACCAAACACCATCGAGAAGCTCGTTATGGTGCAGAGAATAAAGAGGATAAGATAGTTTATCATATCCTACTCTTATCTAAGGTTTGACTCTAGTCTAGCTTCTCTTCCTCTTCCTCTTTCTCTCTCTACAACTAGACGTTGTCTTCTCGCTCTTTCTCTTGGTCTGCAGAGGAGTTCTCGAATTGCCATTACCAGCGAAAATGATGGCTGGTTGTTCTCACAGCCATGTTGAATTAGTTCGTGGGCAACTTTTGGTGGGTCTCAATAATTTCTGGGATTGAGGGGGTAAAAAAACCCTTGAATTTAGGAACATTGGATTGAATAGACTTTGTTGTCTTGTTTTGTTGAGAAATTACTCACAATTTCTTGCTGAGCTGAAGTTCTAATTTTATAATTGCACAAGTGTAGCTCAGAATCAGAGGCAGTGAGAAATTTAGAAGGGATTTTGAGAAATGGGTAATCCTTTGTTTTATGAGATATTGGAAAAACCAGTCACGAGTTGTGTTATAGGAATATGCAGTGTGATTTGGTTCTATATACAGAAGAAAAATATTGGATATTCACATGTGGGTATGAGTTATGAGACTGCCATAGAAGGGCATTATTGGAGGATAATCAATCACCTCTGCATTTTCACATATGAGTGTTATTCATCTTGTTTTTAGTATGAGTGCACTTTGGAGTCTTGGGGTGGTAGAGCAAATAGGCCACTTACCATTTGTACGGTTTTTGGCATCAGGAAATGGCAGAACACTGCAGATGAGTGTGTTACCAAATGCAAATGGAAATGTTGAAATTGTCTAACGTTAAACTGATTTATCATTGGGATATCAGATGTTGCCTTGACACAATCAAATATTTAGCAATATGATTCTAATTCTTCCAATATAGAATTTGTTCACTGCTTCTTCATATCTATTTTCAGAGTTTTCATCTTTAGCTATGTGATAATGAATGCTTTCAAATGATTCTGTATATCAATTTGATGAAGTGATACTGCTCATTGCGAATGTCCTGCTACTTTCTGCTTATTTAATTTGTTTGCTAGTTTCAGTTTATTTAATTTGTTTGCTAGTTTCAGTTTATGTTGTGTTCATGGATGATAAGATCGTATTAAGATGACTTCTATCATGTGGGTAGAATAGGATAATGGCAGTAGAAATGGTATCGTTCTGGATTTGCAATTTACGTTAATCAATTGATTATGAACAATTTACATTAATCAATTTTAAAATAGGAATTAATGTATAAATAAATTAAAAAAGAAGTTTAACAATCAAATAAAAAAGAATTATATGAAAATTTATTATTGAAGGTATTTTTGTCTATTTTAAACATATCCTGATGCAATAAGATTTACACCAAACATAGGATAAACTCATATCTTATCATTATCCAAACCCCTTATCCTATCATGTGCAACAAACGAGCCTGAATGTCTATGTTAACAACATCAGGTCTCCTGAACTCACTGTCATGGATATCTTTGTTACGCCATAGTCATATGTACCAGCAAGAGGTGAAGAACAGATCCCTCCAATTTGGGCATCTGACATCAATAAACAGTAAGCATTTCTTCAACCAAATGCTCAGATTCTGTTCACTGTAGAAAAATGAAGGCTTTGAAACGAACAAAGAACAATTCCATATCTTAGAGACAAGGGGGCAATCTGTAAAAGCATGGAGAATGGTTTTAATTTTATCATGACAATGGAAGCACCTGTCAGATGTGTTACCCCACCTAGCTATTAATTGTTTGGTGAGAACTTTGCCTTGGGCAAGCTTCCAAAGCAGGAATTTAAATTTCTCAGGCACTTTCCACTTCCAGATGCTTTCCCATGGAAAATTCGAGGAGAGTCAAAATGCATTAGGCTTGAATAAACTTGTTTAACCACTGAGATCATAGGGTTCGAACCTTTCCACTATAACATATCACTTCCAACTTCAGCAGATGGAGGGGGGGATAGTTACTATCATATTCACCACTTCCTGGTCGAAATAATGATGCAGAAAATTAAAATTCCAAGTGCCAGACTCTTTATCAATGCAATCGGCCACAACATCTGCAATAAGGAGGTGGTAAGGATAATTAACAGCAACATTTAGTAATTTTGGAATACTCCCTAGCCAATTATCCAACCAAAAATTGGTGTTTTTGCCATCTCCAATATTCCACCGTAGATTTTCCAGCAACAAAGGCCAAGTTTTGGCAAGACTCTTCCATAATTTAGAATCATAGGCTTTACTGAAGCATTGTTTATACAAATCCACCATCCTGCCATATTTTGCAACAAGAACCTGAGACCAAAGCTGATTAGGATCTTGAATAATAGACCAAGCCATTTTTAGAAGAAAAGCCTCATTCTGCTTCTTCAAATTGATGATTCCTAGACCACCAAAACTCTTTTAAGTTTACACAGTTGCTCCCAAGAGACAAGGTGGGCAGTCCTTCTCTCTCTCGAGTGTCACCCCAGATAAACCTTCTTTGGATTTTTTCAATTTCATCACAAATCCCAAGAGGAATAATATTATTTTGCATGTCACCCGAAAGGAATTGAAGAAATTACGGATTTAGCAAGTACCACTCTAAATCATCTTATTTGAAATACGGATTTCATTATTTATTTTGAGAAAGATACATACATTTGTTAAGCGAATAAAATCTACCCAATGACATGGAATGAATGCAAGTTTATAGCCCTTGCCAACTTAGGAGATGACCTTATTTAATCATATTCCTAGAGAGCACTATTAGATATCCACCTACTGTACATGGCAAAGCATTCTTCGGGCTTGTACTCTGGAGCTGTGTGCCCTCCACCCTGAAATAGAATAAACAAACAAATAATGATTGACATATATCTCGTTCTCAGGACATGACAATTGACAAATAATTGAACATGAGGCTTGCCTTCACTGTTGCAAATGTCATCCGATTGGAGTAAGTCCTTGTGTATCTACTTGCACAAAAGCAAATATTAAGTACATAACTTAGTTAGCATTTCACATAAATCCAGCATGGTTATTATATAACACTATTATAGTTAGGGGAATACCCTGCAACTTGGCCATTTGTATACCATTGCCTCCAATCATCCACAATGGAGTAGTTCAAAGATCTTACCCATGCTTGAGTCGCCAAGAAAGGAATCGTCATGTCATGATCGCCACTGTTAGCAATATATAAATTTTGTTTGCCGTTTAGATACAAACAATTCATCTGTGATATTTTATGCAATATCTGAAAGAAATCAAAGAATATTGACCTGTATATCAGTGAACGATAGCCTTTTCTACTAAGATTTACATGATACTCATAGCTGCTAAAAATTTCTTTCTTGTTAGGTATATCGTAGGTACAACGATGCCATTTCCCTGTACTTCCCTGCAGCACGTGCGGGCAAGCTTAATGTCATAGTTGTATTGCTAACTATGTGAAGAAATTACTTTCACATGTATCAGCTATACCTTGCGTATGTGCAGTGCATTGCGAACATTATCATCATTGGCCCAATAACCGCAAAGGAAGTATGCATAACTCTAATGATGGAAAGGAAATAAACATCAAGTTAACATAAATATTTGAAGGTTTATGCTGCAAATACAACTAATAGAAGATTGGATAGTTAATTTACAAATGGTAAATGGAACGGCAAACTTATGGTATAGCAAGATTCTATTTGCATATTATAAAGAACCAATTCAACCTAGAAACTGAAGATGATTTTATAAATTATTTGAAGTGGTGTTAAGTGAAGGCTATCTTAATGGTTTTATAAATTATTTGAAGTCAGGACCACTTGCTCACAGATGTTATGATATAATGTAAAGAACTAACTCAATTCAAAAATTTAAGAGATGGTTCATCTTTATATATTATCTAACACATAAAATACACATAGGAAACATCTCTGATTCAATAAGGCATGAAGGTTACCCGACAGTTTAAGGGTGGCAATTTGAGATGGCTATTGAGGTACTTCCAGGGATATTTCTGAGTTAGAGATCTCCTCCAAGAAACTTTAGTATCAAGCCACTCACATAACGGGTCCAAAATATGAGCCGTATTAATTCCTGATGTAGCCTGTGGAAATGGAAGAACGGTTAACTTAGTGATTGTTCTTTTAAGACTAGAAAATTCTACTCATGAAAATTTGGTAAGAAGGATAGGAGGGACAGCAAAAAATAATGGATGTCTACCTCATTGTAGGACTGGATATCTCTTGAACAGAGTAAATTTTTGGTGTCTACACTTACATACTCTCCTTTACAATTTTTTTGCAGTGACTGTTCATTAAAAAAATAGAGATCCATTAGCATTTGACTTTTGTTTCGTTAATACAAATTTTAAGAATAGATACTGAGGAATTATAATTAAATTACCTCGTATAGTTCATCACAAATAAGTCCCATTCCATGAGAAAAGGGGATTTCATAGTTTTTTTCCCTTCCAGTTGTTGCGGCATTTCCCAGCAGGTATCCCTGCAGAAAAGGACGTTTAATAATCAATCTGGCAGCTGATCTAACTAGTGGATATCTAACCAATGCCATTCAATATAATCAATTCTATGAGGATGGACAACTTTGCTGAGATCATCCCTTCAGCACAATTCCACTTTTCTGAAGTCAATTGTACAAACTCTCACCCCCCCCCCACATATAAAGCCTCTTCTTGTTTCTGAGTTTTCCATTAAAAAAAAGATGTACAGTCTCTTATTTTGTATCAATATACATCTTTGGCAATTGATATTTGCTCCAAGTGTATTATACTCAACTATTCAAATCTTAGTATAAACCGAACAATTTATGTTTTAACTCCAACTGTTTTGTCCCATATCACAGTCTGTTTGATGACTTTCATCAAATTAATCAATCAATCTGTGTTTAATACTCTTATTGAAGTATATTAAGTTACTACTAGGAATGGACGAGTAGTGAATGGTTTGAATATTGCACGAGATGCTAAGTTCAAAAATTCATGCTATCATTCTACAAAACCGAAAGTAAAAAGTTTTCAATCCTAGACTTGCATTTTTTACATAATTACGGCACACAGAATACATTTCTCCTTACACTCTCTCCACACATACATTATAGCACTAGTTAAAAGAATATATCCCTAAGATAAGAGAGGTACTTTAAGACACTAACCTGGAGATTTATCCATGGTTTGACCCCATTTTCATTTCCTGCATAAAAAGGGAATATGTGAACAATTAAACTTTCAACGTAGTTATAGCAACCTATAGTATATAGTAAGACAATGGCACTGCTGGAAATATTATGGTGTACATATCAGTCGTCACAAACAGTCAAGTGGGCATTAGCTTCTACCTACGTCTATGGTTCAAATTTTTCCATACATATTGAGGCATATGTGAATTTCGTACCTTGTGAAATCTCTTGAACAATGACTGGAATAGGAATGCCAGAGTATGAATCGCCACCAATGTAAACCTCATTTGACAGAAATTTTGGATGGTCAATCAGCCACTACAAAGATTTAAACATGATTATAACAATTTAATTGACGGACAGATATAAATGAATACAAAATAATAATAATAATGATCTTGAAATAAAATCAAATAAAATTTGGGTGGATACCTTCCTAAGAAATTGATGGACTTGGTGAACTAGTCTCCAGTCACTTCGTTGAGCGGCAGACTCGGTTGTGGCATAAGAGAAACCCGTGGAAACAGGCAAATCTACAAATATGATGCTACTTACCTACCAAGAAAAATTATGATAAATGCCACTAAATATGGAACACAGATTTAGTAAATACTAAAAAATTCAAAAGGATTTGATGAAATAAATATAATAAATGCCAAATTATGTACTTCAACAAACAAAAAGGTGTACGTTTACCCCCAAAACACACCTTTGTCCATGAATGTGACCTCAAGACCAAATTAGGCAGGCTCCCATTGTAATCCTCTTTTATAAATGCAAGTGGACCTGCAACGCCCAAATAGAATAAACATATATGTTTCAGCTGTTTCTTATCTTGTTACCTATTATTATAAGCTCAAATTAACAAAACATTCCAGTATCATGAACCATTGCACTTTCAAAACTAATGATTAGAAATTCCCCTTCCCTTTGTATTAGATCGAAGTCTGTTAAAAACCACTTCAACCCAAAATCTTATCTTGAGTGAGGGCCTTTCTAATGATTATATTATATTCTCTAACACACCCTCTCACGCAAGAGCCCTTTGATCTGCCTTGTGCTGCACAAGCCCATTTTTTGGTCTGCCTTGTGCTTTTGTGACCTCATGGTCCCTTGAAGCTCACCATGTAAAGAACTAATTCAACCCAAAACCTTAAAATGTTGGGTGAGGACCTTTTTAATGATTTATATTATATTCTCTAACAAAGTAACAAATTATTTGACTCTTCCACCCTAAAAATAATCATCATAATAATAATGAAAATGAAAAAAAAAATAATCATATGATTGAAGAGAGACTTCTTGTATTAAGCTTTGATGACAAATGACATGCATGTTTTTATACGTATTCATCGTTCATTGACCGTCTGCTCCGAAAATTTGATGAATAAAGTGGAAAAAAGGTATTTGTTGGTATGAATTCAAAACTATGTGTAAAGAGTATCATAATAGTGAAGTTGGAGAACACAAAACTGGCAAAATAATTCTAATACCTATATTGAGACTATCCAAAAGTGATTTCAAATATGGAAATGAAAGTTGGTGAAACCTATTTCAAAGACAAGGCCAGACAAGGCAGAGCAACCAGGACCACCCGTTAGCCAAAGCATGAGAGGATCCTCCTTTGGATTGTTCTCTGACTCAATGAAGTAGTAGAATGCTTGCACATCCTCTGATTCACCCACTCCCACATACCTGATCAACATATATCATATGCATGTGTATAAAATTCAAACAAATGATTTTAATCCCTTAAATTAAAAAGACCATAGTCTAGCCAAGTTTAACAGACCCGGTTTCAAGCACAAAAGGAAGGGGTCCCTCGAATCCAGGAAGGAACTGTACTAAGGATCCGCATGTAGCAATTGGAAAGAAAATATGTAATAATAAAAGAAGGGGAAGTAGAACACCATGATAAACCAAACCAGAATAACTAAAACTAGAACTAGACTTTGCCATTTTTAATGGCCTCTCCCATTTCTCTCTGTGCATTTGTATGGTTTTTAATTTGAGCCACTTAGTTCTAGAAATTATCAGAATTGTAGTTGTCAGCAAAGACACTAATAAACAGTAATTAAAGGGCATTGGGAAAAGTAAGAAAAACACGGCATCCATTATTTTATTTTATTTTAATAAAAATTACAAGCATCCGAGGAGGTGTATTCTTATTAAGGAAAAGTTTCTCGCATTTCTCTCGTAGTTTACTCCATAATCACTTATGTCCTGTGATTTTTTTTTTATCACATATGTCTCTATGGTTTGTAAAAAGGTATGCTTTTTATCACATATACTCCTATGATTTCTTATTTTTTACAAAACACAGGGACATATGTGATAGAAAAAAAATCACAGGGGCATAAATGATTCTGAAGCAAACCACAAGGGCATTGGTGAACTTTTCCCTAAAAAAAAAATAAAGATAGGATCTTACTTCTTTGCAAGAGTGAAATAACACAAGTTGTGTCATCTAAAAGGACAAATATTTTTCCCATCCTAATAAACTAAAAAAAAAATAGTTTGTGGCAGGTAAATTATTTATGTCATAATTGGAGAAATAGTTTAGTCATAATTAAATCAATAAATCTAGAGAAATATTATTTTTTTTCATAAAAAATAATTATCTTATGTTATAAAAAAAAGATGAATATATTTCACTGTTATAAAAAAAATTGCAAAAATTAAAATAAAAAAACATGAGAGAAGTTATCTCCTAAAAAAAAGTAATAAAACCCGTAAATATAACTATAAAAAAAAAAAAAGGGTCCTCGTTTTTGTGTAGCAGCATATAGAAACAATGTCTGCCTCAGAAATAAAATTATTTCTGCAACACAAGAAATAGTTTTGCCATAAAAAAAACAAAAAAGAACTTCACGACACTTTTGTCTCGCAGAATGACATCACAATTGCCTGTGTCAACAAATACACTATGCACGAACTAATAAATAATAATCAAAAGAACAAATCTTACGCGACAGTTTTGTTTATTCATGTCATGACTCATGAATGACGTTGATGATTAAAAGAAGTTGGAAACGCAAACTTGTGCGCCATGGAAATATTGACAATGGAATTTTTATTTTATTTTTATTTTGTACAAACTGACAATGGAATCTTATAGTTTATTTAGTTGACCAAATTCAATATATTTTAAAATAGAAAAAATATTTATCATTTTAAATAACATAAAATTATGTTATTTTTAATGAAATTATGTCATTTTAATTTTTTAGTATTTTTTTATAAAATTAGAAAGAAAAAGAAAGTAGATGAAAGAGAATGTAAAAATACATCAAAATATAAACCAAAAAACAAAAAACAAAAAACATCAAAATAATGTAGTTTTATTAAAAATGATATAACATTATGCTATTTAAAATGACAAAAAACTTTTCCTTTAAAAAATATGATATTTTAAAAAATTTATTCTCCTTTTACATTATAAAATTTATTAAAATATATTATATTTTTTATTCCAAATCTCAAATCGATTTCATTTTGAGTTATCAAAAATAATTTTATTTCATAGGAGAGATGTCAATTTTTTTATTTATAAATTTTATATTTAATATTTTTATATATTAAGTGATACAAAATAATTGATGTATGAAAATTATAAACTACATAATATAAATCACAATTTCTTTAAAAAATTTACAACTTAATTTATAACTATTATAAATTTATATTACTCAATTTATAATTTTTATTATTCGTAATATAATTTAAACAAAATAATAAGGAATTTCTTATAAAATGGACTATAATGGGGCGTTTGGTATGGGAGATATTTTTTTTACCGAAAAAAAAAGATGACTGGAGATTTTGTATGAATTTTTTTAGCCTGGATAAGTTACGAAGAAGTGTTTGGTTAGCCAAAATTTTGCCGGAAAAATTGAGTTCATTTTACTGATATTATGTTTGGTTGATGATAAAATATTGATGGGAATGTAAATCAAAAATACCAAAATATCCTTTAATATTTTGAATATGAAAAGTGATTTATATTCAAACATTCATATTCAGAAGAATGTTTTTGACTAAAGATATTATATTCAAAATCTAAGACTATAAACAAAAAAAAATACCATAAGATCATTAGGATAATTATTTGGTTGAAGCCAATTGAAAAGGGAAGTACTGGAAAAAATACCAAATATAGTAATTAAATATTTTTCGCCTCACTTCTCCATCATTCTATACTAAATATGCATACCAAACACGAGGTAAAAGTTTTTTTTATGTAACTTTCATTCACTTTACGCGCACGTCTCTAGTCCTAAAAAAGAAATCTTTTAAAGATCTAGCTTGCGATCAGATGCTTGAGAGTTTGGCCATAAAGATTTTATAATAAGCATGATGTCAAACCGCGAACAAAATGCTGATATATACATTTTATTAAATGCTGCTGAAATTTGAAAAATAAAATGGCGATCATATTCAAAGTGAAATGAAGGTATGTATCGTATAAGTGAGTGACAAGTGTGTGATTCATGCCGTGTGCGTCATGAACTTTGAAGTTAGGTGAGAAATAATACCTTTGAAGTGTGTGAGAAATAATAACTTTGGTACCATTTTATTTATTTGAAAGCTGTCCTACAAAGACTAATAGCGCCATATATATAGGCATTAAAATAACCGAAAAGTAAAACTACAATAACAAAGACACATAGGCTAACTTGGGAACAGTGACTAAAATATCATTAATTTTTTTATTTAAATATCACGTGAACAGTATTATTTCTCAAAGTGTCACGCAGAAAAATTTGCTACAGTGCCCAGCGAACTTGATTTGCTGACGTGACACGTTTCTGGTGGACAACAAGTTCCCTACTGGAAGTAGCGAACTATGTTGCAATAAATGCTGACATGCACCAAGTTCGCTGAAGGTCCAAGCGAACTAGGTGTCACGTGGCACAATCAGAATTAATGTATCAATCACAATAAAACACAGAAAATGAAGAAAAATGACAATTTAATTAATGTGTCAATTAGCAATCACAATTAATGTCTCAATCACAATTAGCGTACAAATAGGATTAACCAATTAATGTACCAATCGCCATTCACTTCGGAGGGCCATAACTTTTGATTCGGATATCCAAATCAAATATTTTTTATTTTATTCCATATAACTTTTCGAGATCTACCCAATGACACCTCATTTGACATATTTTATCTCTCACAAACATCGTTTGAATTTGTAACAATGATATCATAAACAATTAATGCAACGATCAAAATTAATTGTGATTGATACATTAATTATGATTGGTGATTGATACATTAATTATGAATGGTGATTAATATATTAATTGTGATTGGTGATTGGTACATTAATTGTGATTAATACATTAATGACTATTAATTGTCATTTTCCTTCATTTTCTGTTTTTTTTATTGTGATTGGAACATTAATTCTGTGCGACCTAGCACACCAAGTTCGCTACCTGGTAGCGAACTTCGTCTAGTCAGCTTTTCTTGCAAAAGTGTGCCACGTGTCACGAAATCATTGGCTACCAAGTTCGCTACCAGTTGTAGCGAACTTGGACACGTGGCAGTCAACTTTTCCTGCCAAAATGTGCCACGTGTAACAATATCATTGGCTACCAAGTTCGCTGGGCACTGTAGCGAACTTGCCCGCGTGGTATATTGGGACATTGCACTGTTGGCGTGGCATTTAGGAAAATAAATTGTGGAACAGTAGCACTTTGGTCACTGTTCCGCCAATTTGCCATCTTTTAAGAATAAAAAAAATTTAAATGTCACGTAAATAGTCAAACTTTTCAAAGTGTCACCTGTATAAATTTACTACAAGTAGAGAATTATATTGCAGACATAACACATTTTTTGTGACCACCTGATTAACTATTGATACTAATGAATTATGTGGTCAAAATGTCAGTCTACTTTGAGCAAAAGCAAGACACGTGGCAATCACAGACAAATTCACTACCTTACATAGCGAATTAGATTGTCAGAAGAAAAAATAAATTCGTTGGAAGGGGTGTGATTTTTTAGAAACCTTACTTCACCACCAACTCAAACAGCCTCCACTCAAGAAAAGAAAAAACCTTCCTGGTAACCCAGGTTTTTTATTTATCTATATTTAGAGTTCTAAGTATCATTTGTTTTGGGAAAAACTACTCCTATGTTACATGTGATAAATTTCTCTCCTATACACCCTTCGATAACTGTGCTACCTTTTTTATTTTTTATTTTTTTTATTTTTTAGGTGGTGGAGCCCACAAGTTTATCTCTATAACATGAGATAACTTATCTCCTTTAACATGAGATTAATAAAACCCTTTGTTTTATTTTTTTTAATATATGTCCTTGTCTTGTTTGTCTGAATTGGGTTTCTTTTATCCTTTTGTTTTGTGTTTTGCGCTTTTGTGTTTTTTATTTTCAATCTATTTAGACCCAGATGCTGAAGTAATCGCGTTGTCTCCAAAGACTCTTATGACATCGAAAAGGTTCATTTGTGAGATCTGTAACAAAGGATTTCTAAGATATCAGAACCTTCAACTTCATAGAAAAGGACACAATTTGCCATGGAAGCTGAAGTAGAGATGTTGTGTCTTCGACAAGTGCACCAGTCGTAAAAGTAATAAAAGTGTACTGAGTACGAGATCGTTCCCACGGGGATTGGTTTTCAAGCACTAGTTTATTAATTGTGGTTTAGTTGGAAAACCAAGATTGAGATGAAGAAAAATGAATTAAAAACAATCAATAACATGTAAATTCAGAATTAAAAAACAATTAAAGAGATGAGTTGTTTTGAAAATCAAGAATACACGGTTTCGACTTCCCCCAATTTTCTCTTTAAATTATGAATTAAACAGTTAAGAATCTGCTCTGAATATAATGTCAATCAATTCTTTCTAAATTAACTAAGGCTCAATTTCTTGTTACCCTAATTTTATGTGATCTTGAAAGAATCATAGTTCCCCGGTTGTTCCTCAAGAAAACATGCATTACGATCAAGAATTCAAAGATTGAACAATTGCCCTATGTCTATTCCTAGAT